ACACACACACACACACACACACACACACAGCATCATTAAACAGATTTGTCTTTTGTCTTCTTGAAGAGACAGCATAAGCCTAGGAAAAGTTCTGTGCATCACGTAATAGATTTCCATTTCTTGTGTCTGACCTACAGTAAGCCTATTGTTTTGTTTCACAGGTGTATTACAACACGGATGATGAACGAGAAGGGTAAGACACTCTGTTCTTTCACTTTACCCCCAAAGTCTGTTCATGTCAGTGGAAATGGCTCTTAGAGCACTGGATAACCATGGGCTCAGCGCTGAGAAAGGCTTGACCCTGGGCACTGAGAGGAAGGCTGGGAAATGCTGCTCCCCTCCTAAGCCTTTCTTTATCCCTCCTTCCTATGATCTGCCTTTGAATAACTAGCTATTTTTCTAAGTGGCACATCTCTTTGATTCCACCTTTTCACTGATAATCCAGTTCCTGAAATCTTTGGCCCCAACACAGGATCGAGGTGAGCTTGAGGTGGCAGCCAGGCAGACATCCTGCCCTGCTGAGTACTGGGGTCCCCACATGTACCTCTTGAAATGGGCCTGGTGTGCTAACGGTGAGGCTGGTGTGAATGAAGCCAGGGAGGCTGAGAACTTAGTCACTGTCCATGGGATTGTAGGTAAGAGGGGGTTTACATGGTGTCCCTAAGGCTCCCAACTGTCTTGCACATCAAGTTTCTGCATGGTTCTTTCTATGCATTTACTCATTGTATAGCCTCTAGAATTTTTGAGACAAAAAGGAACCTTCGAGGTCGTTTAGCTGACCCTCTCTCCTAGACTATGTACCAGAATATATCACATTAAAAAAATTTTTTTTTTTAATATTTATTATTTTTGAGAGAGAGACAGACCTTGAGTGGAGGAGGGGGAGAGAGACAGAGGAGACTGTGTCCAAAGCAGGCTCCAGGTTCCAGGCTCTGAGCTGTCAGCACAGAGCCCAATGCGGGGCTCCAGCTCGCGAGCAGTGAGATTATGACCTGAGCCGAAGTCGGATGCTTAACCGACTGAGCCATCCCGGCGCCCGAGTATACCACATTTTTGATAGGTGATCAGCCAGCTTCTACCTGAATATTCTCACTGTATGTAAGATAGCTCATGACACCATGGGACACTTGCACTCTGAGAAAGTTAGTTTTGTCTGTTGAACTGATGTCTACCTTCTTTTGACTTCTACCCATTGCCTCTAGTTCTCTCTAGATAAGCCTCATGCTTTCCTCCTCATTCAAACATAGTTTTACCTTTCAGCATTCCCACTCCAGGGGACACCACCGAATTTGTTAATAGTTTCCTTAGAACTGGCTCTCAGAAATAAACATCTGTCCTCAACCACGTGAGTTGGAGGTTATACTGGGATGATTTCTTGTGACCTGGACCCTATTTTCCTCTTCAGTATCTATGTTACATTACATATATACAACTCAAATCTTGGTTTGCATTATGCATGTATAACTGGAATCTCTAGATCATTTTTTTCAGAGCTTCCCTATGCTTATGCAATTTATATATGTACTTAGAAAACATTTCCAGGCGAAGTAAGTGGAGCAGATATTGCTGTGTTCATTTCCTAGAGCGGAGTTGGGCAGACTGCAGTCTGAGGACCAAATCAACCCACCACCTGTTTTTGTATTGTCTCCGAACATTTTTAAATGGAAAGAAAATCCAAAAGGAGCATGATATTGTGCGACACGTGAAAATTCCATGAGCTTCAAGTGTCCATAAAGTTTAATTGGAACACAGCCATGTTAATTCCTTTATGTCTTGTCTGTGGCCGCCTTGTGGCTACACCAGCAGAGCTGAGTCGTTCCAACACAACAGAGCCCCGTGTAGGAGAGCCCAGATGTTTGTTAATCTGGCCCTTTACAGAAAGCGTGTGCCATCCTCTGGCCTAAAGGGTAAAGAATCTCAAAGGGGTCATTCCCCAGCTGGTTAGTAGCTGAACCTTGTCCATCCAGGATCTGGCCTCTAAATTCTGACTTCTGAATTTGCTAAGTACCAAATTAGATTGTTCTTTTTATCTTGGCACATAGGTAATATATTCGCCGTGGCTGGAATGAACAGAAAGATTAGCGCTATCGGTTCTAATCTGTTACTCACATATTTTACAAGGGACAGTGTGGCGTCATGGAAAGAACAGTGACTCTGAGCTTAAGGAAGCCCACATTCTACTCCTGGGCCGTTGCTTACCAGTGTGAGGCCTGGGGCTGGCTCCTTGGTCTCTGGGCTTTGGTTTCTTCAGCTGTAGCATGAGGATTTCGCATGAGGTGATCTTTGAGGTCTCATCTAGCACCAACATTCTTCCCTTCTCATGGGAAAAGTTAGCCTCCTAAGTGACAAGTGTCTGAGCCCCAAGTGCTGCTTCATGCGCAGACCTCACCTGTGAGTCTACCTCAGCCTACACGGTCCTTCCTTGCAAGTTGGCAGCATTTAGGTGGCCAGTTGACCCACTTCTAACTCGTGTGGCTTGACTTCTCAGTGAGTTACCCTTTGTTATTGTGTAATCGTGAGGCCTGAGGCCCAAGTCTGTGTCTGTCATACATCCAATTAGAGTTCAGTTGAGCAATGCGGGTGGCTTTGGAGCTTCAGCGTTAATACGGAGTTGGTAGTTGCCTATGGTTATATGTAAAAGTAATAATTAACCTTCAGTGGATATGTTGCCTAGGCACCGTACTAAGTGCTTTCTATGCATTGTCTCATTGAACGCTCCCCGCATTCCCATGGGGAAGGTGCTGTAATTACCTCCACTTAAGAATGAGCAAACTGGAACTTTCGAATTGAGAAACGTGTTCCAAGCCACACAGCAGGCAGTGGTAGAGGGTTGGAACCCGATCTAGCTGCTTTCCCCGTGGCCTGCTTTTAGCCATCGTGTCCTGTCACCTAACCCTCTTAATTCTTGATCTGTGACTGCCAAAGAGGCATAGAGACGGGCCCTCACCGTGATAGCTTTCTGGCCGTGGCAAAGGCACATCCTCGGCTCATCTTTTGGGGTACGGGACCCACGTTGTGACAAGCCCGGATTCGTATACCTGGCAGAGGGGGTCAGCTCACCGAGCCCCGAGGACTGTCACCGTCCTCGGCACTTGCATAGCCTCCATCAGGGCTGTCTCTGGCCACTTCTACACCCCCTGCCAGGCACAGTCAGTCAGTATGAAGGCATCTGATTAAGAGCAGGATTCACGCAGCCACCAGCGGGAGGAGGCACACCAGAGCCCCTCCCCCAGCAGCTCCGAGGCCAGCGTGCTGGTCAGACACAGGCTCGTTCACCAGTAGAGCCTGTGGCCTGAAGTTCTGGTAAACCTGAATGAGATTAAAGAGGGAAACCAAAGAAAATGCAGATGAGGTGGGATGGGAAGCAGTCATCAGCCAAGGGCCTACACAGAACAAAAACAGGAACACCTGCCTGTTCCTGCCTCCTTGTCTGATGATAAACGATGGTTTGGGGTGACTTCTCGTGTGAGTTTGGCAAGCAACAGACCCCGTGCAGATTTGTTTCATAGGCAAGGGTACAAGTTAGATACAGAGGCTTTGGGTACCACTTCTCAGCAGCAGGCCTCTTATTGCACTTTGGAATCACCTTGGGAGATGAAAATTATGGGGATTTTTATTTAATTGGTGTGGGATGCAGCTTAGGTACAGAGACCTTTTTTTTTTTTTTTTTTTTTT